TCCCAGCTACTCGGGAGGCTGAGGCAGGAGAATGGCGTGAACCCGGGAGGCAGAGCCTGCAGTGAGCCGAGATCGCGCCACTGCACTCCAGCCTGGGCCACAGAGCGAGACTCTGTCTCAAAAAAAAAATTTAGGGGGGTGTGGAGGTATGCGCCTATAGTTTCAGCTTTGTTTCCCCAGGGAAACAAAGACATGACATCTGTAGACTATCACTTGCTCTTAACTCCACAATTCATTTATTTTATATATATATATATATTTTGAGATGGCATCTCGCTCTGTCACCCAGGCTGGAGTGCAGTGGCACGATCTTGGTTCACTGCAACCTCTGCCTCCCGGGTTCAAGCGAGTCTCCTGCCTCAGCCTCCCGAGTAGCTGGGACTACAGGAGGCCGCCACCACGCCTGGCTTTTTTGTATTTTTAGTAGAGATGGGGTTTCATCATGTTAGCCAGGATGGTCTACAATCTCCTGACCTTGTGATCCGCCCACCTCGGCCTCCCAAAGTGCTGGGATTACAGGCGTGAGCCACCGCGCCCGGCCCATTTATTATAAATTTATATACACGCCTAATACGAGGAGTGAAGGCCAGTTTCTAGCAATCTTCCACTTCGACCAGGGAAACCAGGAGACTGCAGACAGAGGCCTATTTGACAGTGTTCATAAACAGAAATGAACAGATCGCAAGATAAGCAAAACAGGCTCTAGAAAGCGCAGCCAGTGAACAGCTAATTTATAATTAAAAGGAAGAAAAGCAGCTCTACCTTGGGAGCTCGGAATTTAAAGTCACCACCAAGACCTAGGGTCACTGCTCCGAGACAACAGGTAAACATGTTCATTGTAGTCGAGAGCTTAGTATCAGAATCGTAGACTTGGAATCTTAGAGCTGGGAGGGCCGTGAGAGCCCACCCAGACCCGCTCACGCTGTAGGGAGGTGGAAACTGAGGCTCAGGGAAATGAAATGGCTTGCCAAAGATTAAGGCTAGAAACGTCCAGCCAAGGGCTTTTTCACAACTCCTATCCCTGAAATACCCTGTAACGGCCAGATAGGTCATGGGGTATTAACCAACAAAGAGATCCAGCATGACTGCTTCTTGAAATACAAATCACTCAGATTCCCAGTTTCCATCAGGAAATAGCAACACATCAGAGGGAAAGGACTGGTAACGCATTGCTGCCAGTCAGAGGTTCCAGAGAAGAACCACTAGCAATGATGTAGAAAGAGAGGATTGTGAAAGGGGTTTGACCTAAGCAATTAGAGGAGCTGGTAAAAGTCTTGGCTTGGCTGTTTCTTCCTCACCAGACCACAGGCCAGGTGGCCGGGAAGGAGGGTGGGGGAGAGCAAGTACAACCCAGACCTGCAAGCCACAAGCCGGGACCTGCACCTGTCTCTCACCAGAGCCCGCACTGGTCTCTCCTCATCCCCAAACCTTCATCCTTGTGGCTACAGACCAAGAAGCTGGTCCTCATACTGGGCCCAGGGTTTGGAAAAGCCAAAGGCAGAGTTCTGCGGGAGCGGGAGGAGCTGTGGGCCCAGTGGCTGCCCACACCACAGGTGCAGGAGATCCATGGAAACGTGCCCGAGATGGAAGAGGGCCTGACCTACATCGGCTTCCAGTGAAGACACACGGCTATTGCTCTACTTCCACTTCCAAACCTCATGCAAACCTCTCTCGTGGCCAACCCTCACCAGAGAAACAAACAAGGGAGGGAATACTGGGAACACAGTTCCGTTTAGCCAATTTCACGACACTGCAAAAACCGCAACATGCCATCAAAATATTAAAATAACCAGAATTCTTTCCAGAAGTATTGAATTTGCTTATCGTTCTTCTGCCATACTTCTCTGCTTCCACCTAAGTAGCCTATCACTTACCTACTCAGGACCCCAATCTAAGTGAACCCCATGTTTTGTCTTCTACTTTAGAAGTAGACACAGTTGGCTGGAGAGCTGGCTGACTGCGCGGTTTGTGCTGCGCTGGGTCTGCCATTCTGCCCTGTGCCAACCACTAACCGCTGTGGCAGTGGAAAGGCTCGGCCATCCCAGGCTGGAGCTGCCGCCCACTCTGTGCTTTCAGGTGTCACTGTATTAAGTGCAGTGAGGATAATGGCACCTGAGCTGTTCTTGTAGCTCTGTAAACAGCCCTTCATTCTTCGAAGCTACAAACATATCCCTGTGTTCAGAACTGGGTTCTGTATACTCCAGAAGAAAGACAATGATGGTGATGTCTTAAAAATACCATTTTTTGTCAATCGAGGTGAAAGAAATAGGAATATTCATTGTATTATTCTTCCAAATTTGCAAATGGAAAATTAAAAAAATTTTTTTTTTATTAGCTGGATTTGGTGGCACATACCTGTAGTCCCAGCTACTCAGGAGTCTGAGGCGGGAGGATCACCGGAGCCCGTGAGTTTGAGGAGGCAGTGTGCTATGACTGCACCGCGGAGCTCCAGCCTGAGCAACAGAGCAAGACCCTGTCTCAAACCAAGATTAGAATCAGATCAAGTCTAGGCGAGATACAGTAAATTAAGTGGATCAGTTTTAATCTTGTGAATCTACTGAAGGCTCTTTCTGGCATCTGAAAACACCTCCCGAGGCTTGCAGGAACACAGGGAACAGGGTGCTGGCCTGCATGGCGTCCTCGCCCCAGCAGCTCCCTTCAGCCCTGGCTCGTAGGCTCAAGGCGTCTGCCTAGGTCTGCTCCCTGCATTCCATTCTTTGCTTCTCCAGTCCTTCCTTCCATTAGAACACCTAGGATGTGCAAAGTACAACACTAAGCACTTTCGTTGTGACTCAAATCACTTCCTTTCCTAAACTCCCAGAGAAATTCAGCAGCTTTTTGAGTTTTTTCTTTTCAGAAACGAAGGCCTGAGGCTGTTCGGCCATATCTGTATCCCTGGCGCAATATCGGACACATCAAATGGGCGCAAGAAAGGTCTGTGGAATGACAGATCTCTGCAGTCAGCGTCCAGAGCCTTCCTGTCCCACCGTTTTCTAGGCTAGTAAAACCACATGCTGGTTAAAACCTTGTTACAGAAACTGGAATCCTGCCAGTGTTGAAAAGAAAGCTAAACTATGCATCAAGGAAACCGGTTATCAGTGGAGATGAATCTGATGAGGGTGTGGAAAGGGAGGCTTCAGTTTCTGATGACGACTAAGGGACACCGTAACCTGACAGTCAACAAAAAGCCAGTGTTCCACCTGGGCAGGAAGACGCGCCCCAGATAAGGGCTCGGTGTGACGGAAACCGGGTAGAAACAGGAACAACACAGAGACCTAGATTCAGTGAGTTTTTCATGTTGACATGTAAACCAGACAGCCCACTGAAAATGTCACGAGGGCACTGAGAACACAGAGCTGCTTAAAACATTCTCCCCTTGTCTCCGTATTTTCATTCCAGTACCTGGACTACACTACATACTCTCAATTAACAAACAAACAAACAAAACAACTAAATAAAAATAATTCTCAATGCAGAGTTCTTCAAAGAATTCCTAATAATTCACATGTTCCAGCTTCAGTTATCACCGAGAACTGGTTTGGTTCCTCTCACATAGGGAAACTGCATCAAGGAAAAGAGTTGGGCAAAGTCAGATTTTCACGCCTGCCGGACTCCTTCGCACCCACGTCAGGGAGTACCAGAGCCTCCCGCTGGCCTCCAGCCCTGGTCAGACGATACGATGTTGGCTCCAAACCTCCTCAGGGTGTCGGTGTCTGGGGCTCCCGGCCCCAGGCAGGCCGGGCGGCAGCTACAGCCTGAGCTCGCGGTCGGGCTTCATGCTGAAGGGCTCCAGCCGCTCGCTCTCGGGCAGCAGGCTGTTGAGCCTGTCCAGCAGGGGCACGGTCTGGTCCACGCCCATCTGTATGCGGCGGAGGATGGCGGACATCTCGTTCACTTTCTGGATCTGCTCGGCGTACTTGGCGTATCTTTTCTGGCGCTCCTGCATGAAGCTGAACAGAGTTTCTACAGACAGATCCATCTGTGGACGGGAAAGAAAAGTACATTACACCTCGTGTAATCAAGTCCTCTCCGCAGGGCCAGGTGTCCACCCTGTGAGGGACAGAGTCCCGCCGGCCAAGTGCAAGCAGACAAGTTTTACAGGAAGCACCCAGGGCGAAAAAGCCCCTCAGGGACACAGCTTTATCAACTGCTGTGCCAGAACCACCTTTAGAAGAGAACTGAGAGGGGACTGTCCCCGGCTCTATGTTCTGGGAATGTGCCTTATTTGTACCTTGTTGAGATCCTGAGATTTCTATCTCCCTATATGAGGGGAATTGTGGATGTGGAAATCCGTCAGGCCAGGGCTGAATCTGGCTCTGCCACACGCATGAGCTGCTAGTACTTATCCTTTGTGTCTCAGGTTCCTCATCTAGAAAAAAACTAGGAGCAGATGGGCGTGGTGGTGTGGCGTGTACTCCCAGCTACTTGGGAGGCTGAGGTGGGAGGATGGCTTGAGTCCAGGAGGTCGAAGCTGCAGCGAGCCATGATCATGCCACTGTACTCCAGCCTGGGCGACAGAGGGAGACCCTGTATCTAACAACAACAAAACCCAACCCCCAAAATGCATGTTCTTCCCTCACTCTTCCCCGAACGGCTGCAGTTTGGCAGTGACTCGGGGAACACGGCAAGGGAAGGGTGGCTGTCCCTGCCAGGGCCAACAATGCAACCAAGGCTCCTGTTCTTACAACAGACCACACTGTTTTTTGTCAAAGTGTGAGGACTAGCTCACGTGCCCTTTTCCCCCATTAAAGAAACTGCAGGCTCTGGGCTCCCCTTGCGTGATCTTCTCTTCCCCTTAAGAGGCTCTTTAGTACCTACCGCCCAGATAAAAATAGGGAGAGGAGATGGCCATCGTGTTCAGCACCTGCACCCCTTCCTCAGCATGGACCCCACTTCCACCCCCTCACCCCTTGTTTCCGTCCCAGGCCAGGAGAGACACAGCTCAACTACCGAGACCCGCACTCCTATCCCGAGGTTCCCAGGCTCCTCCAGCGCTTCCTTCTGGTTTATCCCTGGAGCACTCCCCTTCCTCACCGTGCACCAGGACAAGGGCTCCACACCTGGTACCACAGAGCCTCGGAAAACGGCTTCGAGAGACACAAAAACAAACTAACAAGAACATGGGGGACCAAAGCCAGCCCCAAGGAAAAAAAGTTCCCTTTTGCTATCGTGCGTGGGGAGGACATGAGGGGCGGGAGGCGACCACAGCACCTCAGTGCTGCTGTCCTCTGGCAGGCCTGCCCAGCTTGCTTGAGTGCCTGCAGGGCAGGAGGAGCAGCTAGTGGGGCAGGGGGAGAAGGAGAAGAGAAAAAAAAAAAAACCATCAGAGCGGGAAACCCCAAATAATGTGGGAACAATGCACACGTTCCGGGGTTCTCTGCAGCTCTGTCTGGCATTCAGCACTTTGGAAGTAGCGAGCCAGGAGATTCCTGCGGTCCTGACAGTCACCCGCCAGGCCTTTTCAGGGTGGCCTTGCAATGAGCACCGAGAAACACTCCAAACACCTGAGAGACAGCGGGGCTCGGGGGAGCCAGGTGGGATCCTGAATTGGGAACCTTCTCGGGCATCATTTTACTTGGCGGGGCATTTCTAGCCCTCCACCCGCCACCCTCCCAGAAACTTGAAGCGTTTCTATCTGAAATGACCTCCAAGGCTCTAACTTATCAAGTGTAAAGTCCTTGGCAGTCAATCCATCCCCCTGATTCACACCTGATGAAGACTGTTCATAGCCATCTTCACCAGGTACCTGTCAAATGGCATGTACTTCCCTACACGTTTGCACATCCAGTTGGGGCCCGGGTTTAATGTCGCCAGAGCTTTTGTAAAGGCACTTTCTGTTAATGCTGAGATGAGCACACTGAGTTCAAGCAGGGTGTTCATGCGTGCTGACATCATGTCTTACTTCCATTATGCTCCATGGGAGAAAAAAAAACACAAGAGGAAACTTGAGTTTGTGTAATTTTGAAGATCTCACAACGACAGAACCTACACTAGACCCCAGATCTCCGAAGTCCGGCAGCTCCCCTCTCTTACATGTATTTCCCGAGCAAGCGCCTGTACCACTGATGCTCTATGAGACTTCTGTTGACACGTGGCATGGCCTTACAGAAGACTGGATCACAGGTAGGGAAAGTTACTACCTTTTAAATGTTTCCCCCATTCTTTGTCACAAAGAAAGTCTCAACCTGGTACAAGCAACAATGGAATATCTGGAAAAGGACAGTAAAACTGGTGATGCCTATTTTTGATGTCTCTGCCCTTCGCTCTTGAGGTAATGCTGTCCCTGATCCATAATCCCTACCTTTCCTCCATGAACCCCCAGACACACGCTCATTGCAACACATTTGACGTGACCGTAGGCAGTAAACCAGTATCTCATGCAATTCTCAATCACCATTTTGACAATCTAGGGATATATCCTCATTTGCCTTTCCTACTTCTATTTTTGGCACATGGATTCTAACAAGATAGCATATATACTAACTGTCTTCTGGATAAACAGAGGTGTTGTGATGTCACCTAGGGCTACCTCACTGAATACTCCACAGCCATTCAAAAGACCCAGCTTGGCCGGGCGCAGTGGCTCACGCCTGTAATCCCAGCACTTTGGGAGGCCGAGGAGGGCGGATTGCCTGAGCTCAGGCGTTTGAGATCAGCCTGGGCAACACAGCGAAACCCCGTCTCTACTAAAATACAAAAAATTAGCCAGGCGTGGCCGCGTACACCTGTAGTCCCAACTACTTGGGAGGCTGAGGCAGGAGAATGGCTTGAACCCGGGAGGCAGAGGTTGCAGTGAGCCAAGATCGCGTCACTGTACTCCAGCCTGGGTGATAGAGAGACTCCATATCCAAAAAAAAAAAAAGATCCAGCTTCACACAGGGCAATCTAACCATCCAAGCTGGAGCTAAAGGGCAACCATGAAGCTTGTTTCTGAAATGGATAGTTACGATTTTTGTTCGCCCCACTCATCAATCCATTCATCTACCAATAAAACAACAGTTAAGACTGCAGGTTCTGGAGTCAGACTACCTAGGTTTAAGGGCTACCCTCGATCCAGTATCTATGTGATTTTAGAAAATTACCCAGAAGGGTGATTCCATGAGAGCAAGGATTTGGTGTGCTTTAAACCCTGCTATATCTCCAGTACCCAGCACATAGCAGGTCCTGAATAAATATTTGTCGAACAAATGAATCAAAATACATGTAAGCCTCGGTTTCCTCATCTGTAAGGTAGTGGGGATAACAACAGTGGCTACTTAAGAGGCTGTCCTGAGGATTAAATGAGATTCTGCAAGGAGAACATTATTATCCTGCCCAGCACACAGTTGAACACTGGGTAAGTGTGAGCTATTAACATACAGGCAACAGACAGTTACTGAGTAGCATCACGTGCCATGTGCCATGCACTATGCGAGGTCCTAGGATATAGATATTGAGAACCAAAACTACTTACACCCACACAGCTCACCGTGTACATTAACATGAGTTTTCTTTTCCGCTGTTTCTGTTAACATGACTTTACTATTCCAGGAAACTCAGGCCCAGAAACATATAAGTTGCAAATAACTTTGTTTCAGGAACTTAACAAAAATTAAATGAATAAACTAGCTGATTTTCGAATAGAAAGTGAACAACTCTTTTTTTTTTTTTTTTTTTTTTTTTTTTTTGAGACGGAGTCTGGCTCTGTCACCCAGGCTGGAGTGCAGTGGCCGGATCTCAGCTCACTGCAAGCTCCGCCTCCCGGGTTTACGCCATTCTCCTGCCTCAGCCTCCCGAGTAGCTGGGACTGCAGGCGCCTGCCACCTCGCCCGGCTAGTTTTTTGTATTTTTTAGTAGAGACGGGGTTTCACGGGGTTAGCCAGGATGGTCTCGATCTCCTGACCTCGTGATCCGCCCGTCTCGGCCTCCCAAAGTGCTGGGATTACAGGCTTGAGCCACCGCGCCCGGCGAAAGTGAACAACTCTTTATTCTCCACACCTCCTGCCTCAAAACCCTCGCCTTGCCGTAACACACGACCAAGTTCTGGTCCACAGTGTGTGCCAGGACGTCTCTCCTGGCAGCCTCCAGGCACCTTCCTGGAGAGTCAGCTGGCACGCACTCTTCGTTGCTTCTCTGCTCCACTGTCCTTTCCTCCACTCTGCTGCTGCTGCTGCAATGCAGGTGCACCCCATGTAGACCATGAGAATAACAAAGGTTACATCCTGGAGGTGGCATATCATGAGCTAGAAGCAGCCTGGGTCCGTGAGGATGTCTATGGCTAAGAGTAGACCAGGCCTGAGAGAGAAGAATAAACTTTCATTTTGTAGAAGCCACCATCATTTGGGGTTTCTGTAACACTAGTTAATATAATCTTCTACTGGTAGATATGAATGCTGGCCAGGCGTGGTGGCTCATGCTTGCCATCTCAGCATTTTGGGAGGCTGAGGTAGGAGGACCACTTGAGCCCAGGAACTCGAGAGCAGCCATGACAACACAGTGAGTCCTCATCTCTACAAAAAAATCGAATAAAAATGAGCCAGGTGTGATGGAACACACCTGTAGTCCCACCTGCTCCAGAGGCTGAGGTGCGAAAATTGCTTGATCTCAGGAGGTCGAGGCTGCAGTGAGTTGTGATCACACCACTACACTCCAGCCTGGAAAAAAAGAGCAAGGCCCTATCACAGACCAAAAAAAAAAAAGAAAATGCAATAAAGCCTTTGCCTTCAAGGAACTCATCATTTACTCAAACTCATACTTCGAACTTTGCCCTCCAGATTCATATATCATCTCTGGGGGCAGTCCATTTCAAAGGACAAGTGAAAAAGAAGGGGAGATGATTTGAGGATAGAACTCCAGGCCTCATGACGGTATCAGGCATCTGTAGAACGTGCTCAGGGTTGTTCCAAATACCTTATACGGCTGGTGTGGGCCCATTTGCCTACTTGGCTGGTCCACCCAATATATGAACTCAAAATATTAACAAATCACATCCAGAAATAC